ATATATATATATATATATATATATATGGAGATATGAAGACCAAGATGGTGTGGCTTTTGGTATAGTCGCAGTCTTCTTTCGATGTGTTTGAGTGGATTGACCTCGCTTACAAAATTGGCCAAGTTGTCAGGGCGACTTAGCTGAACTTGTCCTTGTCCGAAGTCTTCTGCTATAGTTATTCTATGGTGGGAATTATGATTACTACTATAGCAGAAGGCTTCGGATAAAGTACGTTCAAATAAGCCGCACTGACAACATGACCAATTTGCGAAAACGAGGTCAATCCACTTCTATACATCGGAATGAGACAGTGACCATACTAAAGGTCACACCATCTTAGTCTTCATAGCTCCATACACCTTATTATTGGTAGAGAAATGCTTATCTCATTTTATCTTTTTGTCAAGGGATTCCGTTGCATTTTTCGACTAAACAGCTCTGTTTCGTCTTCTGCTTAGGTCAAAATGACCGCGATTCTACGATTAAACTACGGTAGTTATGCTGTCATACAATGCACTGAAGACAACCAAACAAAGAAGATAGCTCTAAGTCAATCATACACGGCTAATTAACTTGGCAACAAGGACTTCCCATTTCACATTCAACGGGAGCATCTATTAAGGAATAGTTGGACTTCCCATGGGATCGCAGCTCTCATCTCCTTAAGGCAAACGTATACATGAACAAATAGGAAGAGAACTTCTACATGTCACCGCTACAACCAGCAGTGTTCATGCGACACTTGGACGATTAGTGTGAACTTTGGTCAAATGGAAGAGAAAAACTAGAAGATTTTCTGGAGCTGATAAACGAGATTGATTCCTGGATGTTTAGATGATTAGCCTCAATGGGACGCTAAAATGAAATTGTTCAGAAGTTATATGTGAGGATAATACTCAATTTCCAGTCCCATCATCACTACTGGCTAAATAAAGGAATAATGAGGAGCATGATTATCATAAGCCTACGATTACCGGATGTAGAATTCTGGAATGAAGAATGAGAAAAGTTGATTCGGATATTCTTCGGCAAAGTATGTCCAAGCGAAGTAATACAAGGAAATATAATGACCATGCACAAGCGATGGCAGGACGGTAAAGATGAAGAAAGAATCGGAAAAGTGGATATGCCTACCTTATTTCGAACTAGCTCAAAAACTACGACCAATGGAATTTTCAGGTTACTACGAAGGAAAAAACAAAACCCTTTAAAAGTCTACCCATTAAACATGAGAGGGTGGACAAATTGGATTGCATGAGAGCTAACTGGATAGCATGCGGCGTAGAAATATATTAGAGAAAAAGAGAAAAATCAGCCTACAAATCATAGAAAATCAAGGACTCTGCAAGAAAATGGATACCGAAAGATCGGATATAGCGGAACACATCGCACAAACGTGACACGAGATTAATTGGAATTTAGGTGAAAGAAGTGCCTCATATGGTGAAAACATAAAGTAGAAGTTTCCCGTAGGGGAAAATTAAATAAACAGGAGATTGGAATAAGGCAGAGTTAGTAATACCCTTGCCTATTGTCTAATCAAACTCGGAGAAAACAAGGAAAAAGAAGATGCTTGAAAAAGGATCTATAGAAAAACAGAGAAAAAAAGATCGTAAGGAAGAAGATTGTGAGTAACTTTCGACCTTCTCAGTGAGTGTAGTCTACTCAAAGAAGCAACATCACATCCGTCAATTAAATTAGGAATTATGGACAAATCCTACTAGAAATCCATTTGAAACACACGTCAGTCGACAAGGCATAGGAATCCACAGTTACAGGGCTTTAATCAAAAAGATGATCCGTAAAGGTAATTCCTAATATATGCAAGCGTGGAAAGCAGAGCCTAGAGGCTCTGCTCGGTGACGCGACAGCATACATGTGCTAAATGCTTGAGAAATAGGTCCTGGGATAAAACATACAAAGGAACTTAAATAGAGTTAAATCGGTAAACCAGAAAGATAAGAAACGGATATACGGGACTATTTTGGAGATCCGGATAGAAGGCCCAAGTTGGATCAGCTAATTGAAAGAGGGGGTAAGGGGAACAGCCAGTGTGATGACGGCACACTAAACTGGCCTAAAAAGGAACAAAATTTGAAAAGATAAATTTAAACAAGCCATAAGTTGTGATAGGACGGTAACGTTATAAGAGTTTAAGGGACAGATAGATGGGCGAGGACAGAAAGAAGTGATAGCACAACCGTTTCGGCAAAAGATTTGGTCAAATGATTGACTTCACTTGTTTATTTGACGAGCTGTAGCTTGGTGCTGAGAATGACAAGGCTAACTAATGATGCTGTTTATGATGCCGGCGAAGTGTCTGGAAATGCACAAAGACCACGGTCAAAAACTACTATGGTAAAGGACTTCGTACAAGGTGCGTCCAACTAATCGCACTGACAGCATGACCAAGTTGATGAAACGAGGTAACCCAAATCAATAAAACTTATGATTTCATTAGAAATTAAAAATTATTGCTGTGTAGCCCTAGCATTTATTCATCTTAAGTGAATAGCAATTTACGCCAAAAAGTAGCATCAATAAACACGAGAAAAATATAATAAGCTACTTTGAGTTAAGGTTTTTAAAAGTTTAGGCGTTAATTGAATGAAAAGTTTATTCTAAATTAGTTAAACTGATCAAGCGAGGTGCACACAAAGCCTATCAATGTGAAAGCGAACAGCAAATCATTATGTCTTACTTAATAAAGCATTAATTACATAAATGATATTAGTGAAATGTGGAATTCATTAAAATCATTAAATTGATGACAGATACAGTTGGTAAATATGAAGAAAAACTGGATTTCGAAGAATTACTTAGTGATATAATGTAGCATGGCTCTCCATTTCGAAGGAAAAGTTGGTTGGAAGGATTTCTGGGTAAGTAAGACTGTTGCATTGTGCGAAAAAGTCCTCGGCTCACTGTCCTGCGACCTCGATGAAATTGTGTCAAGCTTTCGTCTCTACTGTGACAGACATGATCAGAGCAAGAATCCATACTTTACGAAAGAACGCAAAAATATACTAAATCTAGTGAAAAGGTGACCGGAAGTAACTCTAGCCGCTTTTTTATACACCTAACATCGCGATCTTAATGTAGCATCCCATGATTTGGATTAAGACTTCGAATTTACTCTGCATAGTAAGATCGAAGATATGAAGACCAAGATGTGTATGGTCGCAGTCTCCTTTCATTGTAGAGAAGTTGCTTGACCTTCTTTTCGCAACTTGGTCATATTGATATGGAGACTTAGAGGAACGCACCTAGTCCGGAATCCATTGTATGCATGATCATTTAAAAGTCGGACCGTAGACGCTGTACATTCCCAGACGTTTCGCCGGCATCGTCAGTGAGTCTTGCCATTCTCAGCACCATACTATAACTCGTCAAAGATACAAATGAAGCCGATCCTTTGACCAAATGTGTGCCAAACAGTTGCGGTATCTCTCCTTATGTCCTGGATTATTTATCTTTCCTATATCCTCGTATCACGCCTTCATATCACTATTTGTTTCTTTTTCCTTGCTTATTTAAATCTAGTGTAGTTTACCCTTTTTAAGCGGCTTTCATGAGAAGCCTCCACACTCCACGCTGGCGTTCTCAATCCCCTTCACCCTTGTGCTGGGAATGTGAATCAGAGTCTGCCATATAGTTACGCCGTCCTCCTCACATAGGCCTTATCAGAGTCTCCCTCTTGCCCTGTAGGATCCGCATGTATTCTCCTGGTTCAAGTATTTCACTCGACCTCTACCACTCCATCTGTGCTCCACGAGGCGTTATTTCCCACACTCTGCGTCTGCTAGACTAACTATAGGCTAAAGACCCCGAGTAATTCACATGGTCTAGCCTTTGCTTCATGGACCGCGTCTATGCTAAAACAGGCCTACTGTCAGCCAACTAGCTCTAGTCTCCACCACATCTATCCTTTTTCTATCCGTAATACCAAGTCTATG